TTGGAGATCACTGGGTTTTCTTATTCATACTTTGCATGATGTCAAGATAGTTTGAAATCCACTTCAGGCTACATTTTCATGTTAGCAGGTGGTGCGGTTTCTTGGCGCAGTGTCAAGCAAACCCTTACAGCTTCATCCACTATGGCAGCAGAATTTGTAGCATGCTATGAGGCGTCGAACCATGGAATATGGCTGAGAAATTTTGTCACAGGGCTGCAAATTGTGAAAGGCATTGAAAGACCACTTAAGTTATATTGTGACAACAAATCAGCTGTATTGTATTCCAACAACAACAGAAGTTCGACTAAGTCAAAACACATCGACATTAAGTTCCTAGTTGTTAAGGAAAGAGTACAGAGTGGACAGATTTCCATAGAACATTTAGGGACAAACTCCATGATAGCAGATCCTCTAACTAAAGGAATTCCGCCCAAGGTCTTTCATGAGCATGTTGCTCACATGGGTGTTTTACAGTTTGAGGAGTTTGTGGTTTAGTGGGAGTTAGTCATTTTCATATATTTTATGTTCTATGTTTAATTTTATATATGTATACATGATTTTTTGGACATATTTGGTTATCTATAGATATGCGGTTTTTTGTTCATTCATTACACTTTGTACATTAAGGTTATTATATCGATCTCAATAAGTTAAAGTTTGGACCAGTTGAAAATAGACGTGTACAGATCACATTCACGTAATTTTTCATGCTACACATTTCATGATGAATCCATGTCATTTGGTTATGTCAGGATGAGTAATCATTGTTGGTTTTAGTTGCGATGATGCAATGAAAAGCTGGTTTGGTTCTATATCCTGATATGATTAATGGACAGGACTTTTGGAATATGCTAAAGGAATATAATGACAATTTTGAGCTCATAAAGTCTAACACATTTGTAAGGTTGTAAAGACATATATATTTGTGACCAGTGGGAGATTGTTGGCAAATGTTGGGTCATGTATATATATGATACATATTTAAATGTGTTAGGGTCATTATTTATTAAGCCAAATAATAAAGTGATCTAAATAAATTAAAGTTTTGGCTAAAGGCATATGTCATGAAAATATGATTGTGTAGAAACCATAGAGTAATTTCTAATTTGATGAGGGACCAAATTGAAAATACTAAAACTTAAGTAATTAACCTAATTTTGGTTATTTAAAGGGTCATGGTCCCCTTCTGAGAGCACACAGACAGAACATAGTTACAGTCCCGTTCCTTTCTTTCTATCCCCATCAAGAAAGAAAATCAAGAGGGAAATACAGGTGCTCTTCAGGTGGAAGACCATAAGATCAAATCAAAAGTGTTCTACAAAGTATATCGTCATTATGGCCAATTCAGGTACGCTTTCGCATTTAATTTATAACATGTTTACAGTATGGGATTATAGATATATGTTTGATCATTAGAATGGATATCATATTCAATTACAGTTTATCCTAACATGTGCGACTCCCTTGTCTTATCTTTCCTTTTTATCGTTCTCTTTTTGCTTTTCGTTTTGTAGCCCCTTATATAGAGAGAGAATGGATAAGGAAAATGGGAGAAGATGGGTAGTGGGTATGGAAAAATTTGGAGAAAGGAGAAAATATATGAAGAAAGTATGTAGGGAGTTAAGTTACATAAAGAAAACGTGATTACGTGACTGTTGTAAAGGAGAAAAAAATAGAAAGTTTGAGTGAGATAATATTTTTATCTTATTAATAAATGTTTTATTTAAAACTAAAAATATCTTTTTCTTTTTCAAATTAACTAAAACACCTCCCTTTTCAATTAAACTATATTTCATTTTTATTTCATTAAATTATTTAACACTTTAATTATCCGTATAACATTGGGTGTTGACACCCATAAAGGGTCTTCTCCAACTTCAACACTTTCATCTCTTCTCCCTTCTTTATGTACCTAGGTGGTTTGGTCAGCATACACTCCTTCTTTAAACACACAATTCAAAAATGTCAATTTCACGTCCATCTACATTCTCACCACTAGAGCGAACACCTTGTCATAATCTACTCCTTCCTTTTATTTGTACCCCTTTACATAGTCAAACTTTATATATTTCCACCTCATCTAGTGCATTCTTCTTCTTTTTATATACTCACTTCACTCCAATTGTTTGTGAGGAGCTCAACAATTCAATCATCTCCCATGTGTCGTTCTACTCTACTACTTGATTTTCATCATCCATAGCAACTTGCTAGTTTTCATCTCGCATTGTCTTCTCAAATCTTATGTCCTCGAAATCTACCAAGGGACAAACAACATGCACCTTATTCGTCGAGTTGTATAGGTCTTGTAGATTCTGCATATAAGGTTGTGGTTCTTCTTCATGCTCAGCTTTTGAACTGGCTATAACTGGTGGTGAAGCAACTTAGCTTCTACTGATCTTGCCAATGGTTCACATCAATTTCACTCACTTGTTTCATTTACTTGAACATTGTGACTTACAATCACTCTCTTAATGATTTGTTCTATGAGCCTATAAGTTTTTGTATTCTCATTATAATCGATGAAGACATATTTTCTGCTATTGTCCTCAAGGTTTGACCTTTATTGGATTGGTACTAATCCATAGGCAATGCTACCAAACACTCTAAGATGGGTCACAGTTGATTTTTTACTATCTCATGCTTCTTGAGGCATTACTCCATCAAACTTTGTGTGTGGACATATATTCTTAACATAGATGGCACATTATACCACTTTTGTCAAAAACTTCTTTGACATATTCTTGGTTTTCACATTGACCAAACCATATCAAGAACAACTTGGTTATTTCTTTTAGTCACATCATTTTGTTGTGGAGAGTATAAAGTTGTCAAGAATCTCCTTATCATGTTGTTATCTTCACAATACTTCACAAAAGCTACTGATGTAAACTCTCTACCTCTATCAAATCAAATTGACCTAATGCTTCTCCCAGTCATCTTCTCCACCATTTCCTTGAACTTCTTGAATACTTCAAACACTTCAGACTTTTCTTTCAGAAAATAGACCCATATTTTCCTCAAAAAATCATTAACAAATACTTCTTACTTCTGAATTATTCAAGGGTAATTGACTCACACGGATGAGTATGTACAAGTTTGAGTTGCTCCTTCACCCAATACTTGACCTCTTTCTAAAATGGTGTCCTCACCTATTCCTTATCACATTCTTTATAATTTTTTCCACATTATAAGTTCGGCAAACCAATCACCATGCTCTTTTTCGACAACTCGGTTAGGCCACTAAAATTTAGGTGTCCAAAATGATGATGTCATGTCAAGATTGTGTCCTCCATATTTAGTTTCAGACACATCTTCCAAATATTCTTTAGATGCAACTTATACATTCTGTTTTTCCCCATCTGTACTTAGGCGATCAACCTTTTGAGCTTGTCCTTCAGTTGTAGTACTCAGTCCTTCATCAAAATTAAGTAGTCCCTCTCCTTCAATTGTCTCATACTTAAAATATTATTTTTGAGGTCTAGAACATAGTATTCAACTTGAATTGACCCAAATAAGTCATCCTTCTACAAATAGCGAATGGTACCTTATCCTTTTACCGATACCTTTGAGGTGTCTCCAAACAATACACACCTAGCGTTTACTTTCTTTAAGTCTTTGAACAAGTATTTGTCTTCACACATATGATTACTTGCACTTGTATCTAGATACCATACTTATTGTAGTTCGGTAATTATTCTTATGATCGACCATCAATATTATTGCTTTTATCTCCTCCGCGAGATTGGTTTCTTTCATCATTTTCTCAGCTTGACATTCTTTTGAGAAATACTCCACATTTCCATAGTTGTAGCATTTGTCTGATTAATAATTCTTCGCATAGTGGTCATATTTGTCACATTTATAACATTCAATATTATGGATCACCGACCGATCTCTTTTTTTACTACACCCTCTACCACACCAATTTTGTTGGAGTCCTTCTCACCACTACTTTATCCGCTACTCTTACCACACCTATTTTGAGAGTTTTCTCTTCTATTGTAATTGTCTCACTCTTAAGTGTTCCTACTTCCATCTTCTTTTTCTCCTCTATTCATGGGCCTCAAGAGAACTGACCAACTCTTGTACAGAGAGCTCGGACAGGTTCTTTGATTTTTTCTATAACACACATAACATTCTCAAAATCATCTATTAGTAACCTCAAGATATTCTCTACCACATGAACATCAGATAGCGTCTCTCCATTTCAATTAAACTAATTCACCACAATCTCAACAAACGTGATGTATTGGGAAACTCCCTTCGACTCCTCCATTTTTATGCTCTTCAACTCACCACAGTAGTATTTGTAACCTCACCTACTTGACCCGATCATAGCCCTTATATGCTATCCCCAAAATCTTCCATACTTCTTTGAGTTTCTTTCACATGTAATCTTCTCAAACCTAGATTCATTTTGGTACAACATATTCAGGGCTAGCTTATCTTTTGCACACTTCTCCTTGAACGGTTTGTTTGTAGTTATTGACATCCAGGAGAGCATTTTTGGTTCTTCGAAACCATCCTCAACCAAATTTCAATTAGAGACTCCAATTATTATAGTTGATTTCCAAACTTTCTACCACTGAAACACTCATGTAATACTAGTAGCCCTTTATATCAAATTTGATGCCCAATAATCATGAATGATAAAACTAATTTTTAAAGATATAACTCTATCTTTCAATTATTACATCTTGAAAAAGAAAACAAACTTTTAACTAACTACTTGATTACAACAATCGTTAACTAACTATTCAGTTACAAATATTTAACTTAAAAAAAGAGACATTTGTTCATTGTCATGGCTAAGAGTGAGCCTCTTTGAGATTCTTCTCCATTTTTCTTTGTTGTGTCATATAATTACATTGATGCCACTTTAAGCAACGAATTCACCCAATTCTCAAGCAATAATAGTATTTGGGAACATCATCTCATTGGGGTCGATATCTTCCATACCAGGAACACTACTTCAACTCTTGTCTGCGTATACTTCACAAATGTTCAATTTTGGATCCCACCGCCACCATGTGACCGGGATGTTTAGGGAGATGGTTTATTGTAGAGTGTTTGGCAATCCAAAAAATTTAGCAATGGAGCGGGGAGGGGTTTTGGGGCGGGAAGTGTTAGAGGTGATGTACATCAGACGTTTGACATTTGGTGACGCAACAACCTCCCCTTAGTTTCCAGTTTTGGGTGTTTAGGTTTTGGAAAGTGAGAATGAGTATAAAAAAGGTTGGAGAAGTAAATACACGAGTGCATAGATCACGTGTGTCCATGGAGATCAGAAAATCACTATTGATTTATTTTAATATATGATATTAATGTACTATCGTTAATCACATATATTATCACTTAACGATGGTAGTTAACAATGAAAATAGTTAAATAATTTATTTAAAATTAAAGACTAAATATTATATATATATATATATATATATATATAACAAAGATGGAAAAAAAATCACAAATTAGTACACAAAAACATATTTAACCATGTATATATATATATATATATATATATATATATATATATATATATATATATATATATATATATATGTGTGTGTGTGTGTATATTTCATCCATAAAGAGAAATGAGAAGTTAAGTAAACGAAAATTTATTTTTATTTCATTTTATTTAAATAATTCATGAAAAGAAAACGCTGAAAAGCAAACAGCTTTTGTTTTATGGGAAAAAAGTACATACTTTTTTTAAATTCTCTTTTAAAAGTAGGTAAAATTAATTAATTTCAAGATCTTATTTGAGTTTTAGAAAAATTATTATAATTTTATACGTGGTATCCGGTTATGAAACTGTATATGATCTTTTTTTTTTAAAACCCTAATAAAATTTAGACCTAATTTTATGAAGTCCTATGTATATTAAGCAACAATGTGTATTAGACCTATTTTACACCAACAAACTGAGTAGTTTATGAAAAATCTTCATAGAAAACATTTAAATTTTGTTAAGAGAATATTATAATACATTATTATGACACTTTTTTGTTCTAGAAATTCGGCCTTTTGTTTTAGGAAAAGCCATATATAATATCACTTAGCTTGGGAAGAAATACAAAAATAATAATGATTAAAAAACACTAATACAAAATAGGCTTTTAACATCGGTTCTAGAACCGATGTAGAAAGTGTGACTTTCCACATCGGTTGTAAGGAACCGATGTAGAAAGTCTAATATTTTTTTTTATTTTATTTATTCATAACACATCTCTAATTACCCTATCTATTGATCTAGAGTTTCCTAGACTATCATCTCTCTTTTATAACCCTTTTATATTATATTTTTTAGGAATATGAATTGAATTATTATCGGATTAAGAGAATTGTCACTTGGCGTTATATTTTTATTATTTATATTTTTTAGGAATTTGAATTATTATCAGATTAAGAGAATTGTCATCGGCAAGATTCGAACCCAAGTACCTTAGAGTCGGAGGACGATACTCCAACCACTAAGCTACCAGGATTTTTCGATAATAACTTATACATAAATTATATTTATATACAAATAAAAATGTATATCCATGTAAATATATAAATATAAAATATATAAATACAAATACAAATATATTTATATATTTATATGTTGGATGTGAGGACGCGCTCGAGGATGAAAGTGTGTGTCGAGTGAATTTTTAAAATTTGATGTCAAATTTGTGAGCGGGTCTCTTTATATGGATTATAACTTAATGACAAAATATAATCTTTATAATTTATTTATATAATGATATAAAATAATTTTTTTCTTTATTTTATATCATTATATAAATTAATTATAAAGATTATATTCTATATTATTATAAATAAATTATAAAGATTATATTCTATCATTAAATTACAAATTCATATAAAGAAACTTGCTCACAAATTTGACATCAAATTTTGAAAACTCACTTGACATACTCTCGAGCGCGCTCTCACATCCAACATATAAATATATAAATATATTTGTATTTGTATTTATATATTTTATATTTATATATTTACATGGATATACATTTTTATTTGTATATAAATATAATTTATGTATAAGTTATTATCGAGAAAATCTTGGTAACTTAGTGGTTGGATTATCAGCCTCCGACTTTAAGGTATTGGGTTCGAATCTTGCCAAGTATATAATAAATAAGAAAAATTGAATGATTAGAAAGAAAAAAAAAACTGTTGTGAAATATGATTATCAACCAAATTTTCTAGAGAAAGAATTGTTAGCATGTGATAGACTTCTTATATAGGAATTTTGTAAGTAAAACTTCACTCATTTTCACTTTTCTATCTTATACATAATTTCATTGTTTTCCTATAACGAAAATTTAGTGTATAGTGTTAAGTTGATTTATATTAATGTTTATGTTACGAGAGTGATAATTAGATGTTCAAAATATATTTATTTGATGTAATTGGAAAGAGCAGAAAAATAAGTTAAGATAAAAAAAATATACTATTTAAATTAATTTATTAATATATATATATATATATATATATATATATATTATAAATTAATTTGATAACAAAATTTGTACGAGGAGATATAAATATAATTTTTTAATAATAAAGAATAAAATTTTAACTTTTATTTTATAATAAATGAATATTTTATTTTATAATTTATATATTAAATTATTATATTAAAAATATAATTAATTTTATTAATATAATTTAAATTTTAAAAATTTGTATTATATTAGAAATTGTTATTATGGTGTGATAAGTTGAATACATGGATGTATGGTTTGATCACCGATCGGTTTTAATAACGATGATATCACTTACATTTCTTTCTTTCATTGAATGTTATTTGAAGGGTATATAAAATTTGAAGGATTCATACATTATTTTTTCTAAACTTTTGTCTGCTAGATATTGTACCCTACTCTACTCTTAAACCGAACAGAACTGCAAGCATGTAAGAGTTTTTTCCCTATCTGTACGTGGTGACAGGGTAGTACCCGCAATTTCCGTTGCAACTAAGGACACAGGCAGGAACAGACAGAGTAATAGTGAAGCAGAGTAGTGGCAACACCAAGAACAAGACAAAAACAAAGGAAAAGCAAAACAATTTTAACGGCTGTAGTGAATCGCATGAGCAATAAGCGGGAATAAGGCAGTGTTTGTTTGAATACAGCCCCGACAAAGTTACCTTACCTGCACATATATCATCTACAGATAGTAAAACCAAACCAAAGAAGTGGACTTTTTCAGACCCCTTTCACACTTCACTCTCTTATCCAGTTTCTCTATCATCACATGGTCCCTCTCCTTTTTCCAATATCTCTTTCCACATCACAACGCAAACTTCCTTGAATAATATCTTCCATGATTTATCTGCACTTTCTCTGACATTTCTCTCTTTTCTTCTTTCTAATAATTCCAGTCCTCTTCACTCTTGGATTCACCACTTGATAGATAGTCCTTTCTCTTGGCGTGAAATTGGGGAGTCATGGTAGGTGTCAAAACTTCACATTCTGAGTTTTGTGTATAAAGGAATATCATAATAGATGGCCAGAGGATATACTTTTAAAAAATATTATTTTTTTTGTTTTCCATATTTCGACCTTTGACCAGTGATCCCTTAATGTTAAAATCTTGGTAGATGGGAGCGGAAAGTGAATTCTAAGCAAAGCTCTCACTCATAACTACTTTCTGTTTTCTTTGCAAGTTACTTCTCAAGGTTGAACACCTGGCTCTCACGTTCTTCTCTTTTAATTCTGGGTTTTGCTTGAAGAGCAATTCGCCACCTTTCACTGCTTCCTCTTATTCGTTCCACTGATAGCCTCAGATCCAGTTCTTTTCAGACTAAAGGGTTTGTTGGGACAGTGCTGCTCATGTTTTTGTGTAAAGACATGGGGAGGTGTTGCTTTGCCTAAACTGTGGATGGACCAGAGGAGTTGGCTATGGTCCAGGAAGTCATCTGAGAAAAGTCCAGGTGAAACTGAGAGTTCTGGCTCAATGTCATCTCATTCAGAAAGATTTTCTGAAGATCAGGTAGCAGCACTCTTTCACCTTTATAATTATGAACTTTTTCATCAAAGTGAACACAAATTACATGCTATTTATTATTCATTTATTGTATTTTTATTATATAATTTTTATTAACTAGAGAACATATGTTATCATTGGCCTATTCCTTAAAATTTTAGAATATTGTTCGAAGTTACAATATTTTAACATTTTTTCATGCTATCATGGTTTAGCTATATTTGTTTCCATCCTTATTAATTTTTCCATATCTACTATTCTGTTGCCTGAGATGATTTGAAGTTTCTAGGCAAGCAGAAACTGTTTGGTTGCAGAGTTTACATGAATATGAGTTTCTAAAGCCTGTAGACTACTGATACTGTCCTCTTTTTAGTTTGAGATTATGTTTGTTCAAATATTTCTAAACTGGGGGAAATTTGGTGAATGGTGTTTTTTTTATCATATGCTGTAAAGGTATATCCCACAGAAACTACTCCATCTCCAGAAGTCACATGCGAGGGTGCACCAAATGATGAAGAAGTTACTGATGTGAAAACTCTTACGGAACAGTTATCTGCTGCTCTGTTAAACTCTAGTGCCAAAGAAGACTTAGTAAAGCAGCATGCAAAGGTTACTGAAGAAGCAGTCTCAGGTATCTGTTGTTTGACCAGCTTGCATATCAATGACTTCGCCTTGATTTGACAAACAAGTTTATATAAATCAGAACTCAATGGAGGCATTGTGCATTTGCAATTGACTCTGTTTGTGAAAATAAATATCTAAAACAATCCAAACATGATTCAGGGGTTATTCTAAAATGTGTTTTATCTGCCTAGGGAACCCAAGCCTGTGTCATAAACATCTGCTCTAGGGACATTATTGGAAAGTTCAATCCAAATTCTCTTAAAGAAAATTGTTTTCTTTTATTGGGGCCTAAAAAACTTAACTAATAATATGGCTTCTGATTAGGCTGGGAGAAGGCTGAAAATGAAGTATTGATTTTAAAACAAGAACTTCACGCTGCAAAACAGGAAAATTCAGTTCTTGAAGACCAAATTAGTCATCTGAATGGGGCACTCAAGGAGTGTATGAGGGAGCTTCGACAAGCTAAAGAAGAACAGGAGCAAAGGATTCATGAAAATGTATCAAATAACTCTTGTGGCTTGAAATCCAGAAGACCTGATCATGGGTGGGAAGCTGTTGATGCTGCTGCTGCTGCAGCTGCATTAGCTCGCTCTGATCTTCACCAGAGGCTTGAGGATATGGAGAAAGAGAATTCAAGTCTTAAGGTAGAGCTACAATCTCGACTTGAGGAACTAGAGTTCAGGACCATAGAAAGGGATTTGAGTACTCAGGCTGCTGAAGCAGCAAGCAACCAACATTTGGAAAGTATAAAGAAGGTGGCTAAGCTAGAAGCCGAATGCCGGAGACTGAAAGCTGTGGCTCTCAAACCATTCTCTGCTAATGATCACAAGTCTTTAGCTGCTTCTTCAGTTTATGTGGAGTCATTTACTGATAGCATGTCAGATATTGGGGAGAGGCAACCAGTAGTTGAAAGTGATATGAGGAAATCAGAAACCTGGGATATGAATGACGCTGAATCAAACCACTATGGCTCATGGTCATCAGCTTTAATCACAGAACTTGACCCATTTAGGAATGAAAACACTGCCGGAAAAAATCATACTGTCTTTTCAACTGAGATCACTCTGATGGATGATTTCCTTGAAATGGAAAGGCTTGCTGCATTGCCAGATACTGAAAGTGTAAGTAGCTTTCCGGTGGTAAGTGCTGCATCTGACCAACTCAAAGTTGGCCATGGCACAATGAATGCTGATGTGGAAGCTATGGTTCAAAAGAATGTTGCACTGGAAAAGAAACTAGAGAAAATGGAGGCAGAGAAACTGGAGCTAGAGATGGATCTAATGGAGTACCAAAAGAAGCTTGAAGTATCATTGAACAGAATAAAGGAAATGGAGTTAGAGGTAGTAGAGCTTCAAACTAAGTTAGCTCTTGCAAAGAAATCAAATGAAGAAGCATATGAAAAACTAGAAGCAACTCAACAAAAGAAAGAGATAGCTGAGTCAAAACTCAGAGTTGCACACTCTGAAGCAGAAGAATTGGTTTCAAAAATTTGTTCATTAGAGGAAGAGATTGAGAAAGAGCGAGTTTTGTCAGCTAAGAATTTGGCCAAATATGAGGAGTTGGAGGATGAACTCTTGAGAATGAAGCATGAACTTCAACTCCAGCAAAACTTTGAGATTCTGTCCGAGGAAGGTGTTAATAGTGAGCTAAAGCAGGTCAGTTTGGTAGCACGCAATGTGAACTCCACAATTTAAGCCTTCATCAATGTATTTTATATTATTTAAACACACTGGCTTATAATCTCTCTTTTTCTATGATGAATATTGTCAAATGAATGATGCTTAAAGCTAAGATTTAGTTGAAATATTAACATGTGATGCAGACTCAAATTACAGAAGACATATTTGATTACTAAGTACCTAAATACAAGTGATGGTTTTTATCTAAATATGTTGCATTAACCATGCTCTACACAAGTCTTTTCATATAAAGAGCTCAGTATCTTTAAATGCAGGAGAAGGAACAAGCATTGGCTGCTACTAAATTTGCTGAATGCAGAAAAACCATTGAATCTCTTGGACTGCAGTTAAAGTCCCTTGCAACCTTGGAAGACTTCCTACTTGATTCAGAGAGCCCTATGGAGTTAACTTGTGAAGATACACCAGGTCACCAAAGTGGTGATGAGAAGTTGAAGAAGTTAGATAATTGTGCAGTTACACCAGGTCACCCATCACCTATTACCCATGAAAAAACCAGTAATAGTTTTGGTAGGTTGAATCCAAGAACCAAAAGTGTAAGCAAAACAAGAGGTCGCTGAAAAACAAGGTGAAGAAAAAAATGAAGTTGTAAATGTGCTCTAATCATTCATCGTGTATAAATCCAAACTTACTTGTTGCATAATTAAAATTGTTCACACTTATAAATTAGAATTACAGACTTATTTTATTTGATATTTTTTTCTATGGGTATGACTTTATATATCTCATTGATTTCTTCACTTAGAATATGATAAAAAAAAAATCAACAGTAATGAATATGACATATAAGATCGTAAGAAGATTAAAATGAATGAAGAAGAAAAAACACATAAAAAATAAATATATTAATTTAAAATTAAAAAAAAATTATCGAGTCACCAGATTAGTTTGGATTAAAAAAATAAATCTAATTACCATATCAGTTGCAACTAATTTGATTGGTTTTTAAAATTAAAAAAAACAAAATACTACGATCAGTATGAAATGATTTTATTTCGATTTAGGAATTGAAGATGATTTTGATCCTACAAATTCTTCGTCAATATCACAAAAGCTTGTTAATTGCTAAACGAACAACATTTTGCAGTGAAAAAAATTTATATTTCAATTGATAAAAATATTTCCACGAACAAATTAAGAAATGATAAAAAAAAAAACATATTAGACTAGAATATCTTTAGTTTATTAATTGCCATATATTATCATAAATTATTCAATAAATTCTCATATTTTTCAACAAGTCACCATAATAAATAAGATTAAGAATTACTTATCTGTTATCTCTTCTCAAATATTAATTATCGAGGAGCATTTTAGAAAATAACTAAAAGTAATCTCGAGAACTACCTTTAAAGTAATATTGAGCATAAAAACTAAAAAGTAAAAGCTATGTGGAAGGAAATAAAAAGTGAAGGTTGCCTCTAAAGGCATAAAATTTGACAGTAATAATAATAAAATACATGAAATTCACCAACAGAAAAAGAAAATAGTTGAGACAAACTAAATTATTTAGCTTCAGACGGCATGCCATTGCTACCGTTCTTCCTCCTTAGAAGGTCATAGAAAAGCTCTGGCTTTCTGGACTCTGAGATGCAGATTGCCTGATATCAAACACAATACCATCCTTTTTCAATGGTTTTCAACTTTGCAAATTTTCATAGTCTCTTTCACAAAATCATATCACTTTTGTAGAATTTGTATTTATATTTATATTTGATTACATTACTTAGTATTGATTACTCAATAAGAAAACAGAAAATATTTTTTCAAACCAGTGTAACAAAATGTTTAGTGAAAGGAATTTTACCTGCACTGCAAATGCCAAATGGATCAGTGTGGCTTCTGACCAAGGCCTTCCAATAAACTGGAGCCCAATTGGCAAACCCAATCTATCGAATCCAACCTGTGTAGTGCCAAACACACACATAGATATCATACAAATTACTACCATAAAAGTACTACTTAAAATTGAAACTTAGTGAAAGAGAATGTAATCATACAGGAACAGTGATAGCAGGAAGTCCCAGAAAGTTTCCTGCTATGGAATAACGAACAAGTGCAGCTGAAAATGGTGCAAGGAATTTCAGTGCTTACTACTATTATTAATGGTACCAACAACTTCAAAGAGCTTAATGTCATTATTAATCAAATGAATTTCATCTATACTATTACTATACCTCCATTCACGTAGTCAAGTTCACCAGTCTTCAGAGCATCATCTTGAATTGGATATGCAGTCACACTGTTATACATTTACATATCATGAATATGTTCCCAAAGAGCAAAACTGCTACTTATAGAAAGAAACCATTCTTTGAAGTTTGGGGAAAACAGGACAAACCCAGTTGTTGGTGAGACGATGACATCCGCCTCAGCAAATATTTTCTTATGAAATTTCAGTTGTCGATTCCTGTTCATATTTTTAATAAGCTGCCATTAGAATTAAACTATAGGGAAAAAAATCCTGATACGACCAAACTCAGTTCTATGGACCCTTTTGAAGTAATACTGGTAATTATTGGTTACATCTTACTGGAAACAACAAAATCATGAGTGAAGTTCATTAAATAAGAAGTGTGATACTACAAATTTCTTTTTATTTCTAATGAGTTTTAAAAAAGCAGTTATCTTCTTTCAATTAGTAAACTTTCTCAAAACTATGTCTTAGAAGCCACCCACGTGACCAAGTAGTATTGCATGTTTTGTTGGCGTTGGATCAAGTCAAATGTGAATATGTGATCCACAACTGAGCTGAAGTTACTTTCGGTATCTTCTATTTTTCACATTCGAAATATTAAACACACACAATGACAAGTGTCTGAATTGATGATGCACATCCTAGATATAAAAATTCGATTACATAAAGTATATCGAACGCAGAGAGGAATGCACTCTACAATTAAAAAGATGTTGTATTTGCAGTGTATATTTGTGGCTAGATTTCATTAAGTTCATTAGCATAACTTATTAGCCTGATTTTTTCATAACTTACCTCATTTTCTGAGCTTTAAGATACTCCATGCCGCTGAAAGCACCATAAATGCTTTGTGCTACCCTTACATCCCATCCTAATTCTGCAAAATTTCTTTGGTAGCAATTTGGTGGTGTCAGCAATCATACTCCTCGATCTAGAGGGCAATAAGGAGGAAAGTAAAAAAGTTTATAGGAGGACATACTTTTCTTTAAAAGAATCAAGTGCAGTGGAGCACTCAGATCCGATTGTTATATAATGTGCCAGGCGCATTGCTTCTATCTCTGGTATGGTCACATCTATGATCTTGTATGTTTGAAATGAAAAGGTAGAAGGTTAGCAAGTAACTGTGATGTGCTGTTTCTCAATTATGGGTTCAGTAACTGTATTACAAATGGTTCGAGATTTTTCTGCCTCAAAAAAATGGCTTCTACCAAATTCACACCAAATAACATAAGATTTTGTTGAAGTGGGGAAAGTAGTAACCATGAAAACACATCACTGGTCACCATTAGCATTTTTATAGTTTTCAGTACCTTCCAATTGTAATTGTCCTTAAGTTTGTGCAAAGTTTTGGTGCAGCATGTTCTAACATCGTGGCTGCAATCATCAAACCACTAATTGATGGAAGTAGTGGTTAAACAACATGATGTTAACCTATTTCTAAAAGTTTAAAAATCAGAATGCATTTTTATAGCTGGCAACAGGTCTCTAACCTTTCCGTATTTTGCTAATCTGATGTCAGATATGGATTTTGTCAAACTCAGCCGTGGAAGATTAATGTTGGTCTGGAGATTACACATTGACGCCAGCGATTCAAAGATATTAGAAAAAGATAAAATTTGGACTCGGTCTATAGAACTTGAAAGCGTAAAATATAATCAGAATTATATGGATATTAGAAACATGGCAAGACTAATCGATGGTAAAAAATCATTAATTTGAAAAAATGATCTTACCAGTACACTGAAGGTATGCTGATATGGAACTTCACCACTGATTGCTGCATAACTATAAACAGAAAACAGTACATGCTGTAAAAACCAATCTTAAAACTTCCTTGAAGAAAGAATATCATAGAAAGAAGTACTAACACAATCAATGCATCCTCAACTGTGCCTGCCAGTATTCCAACCATTCCAACAGTCCAATTTAGGGGAAGAACTCTGAATGCAGCAGAAGATCATTCTCCTAAGTCATTATATTACAACCCTCCATGTGTTTAAACATGACAAAACAAAAATGTATACCTACCCATCATGTGGTATGCGTGCAAAAGTTGGTTTTAGACCAACAACACCGCAAAGAGCTGCTGGCATTCTTACAGATCCTGAAGAGATGAACAAACATCATAGTAATTCATCAACGTTTCAATGATGTGTACTTGTTGGTAGTATTCTGAAAGTGGTGTAGATATAACTCACAAGGAATTTACTTTGACATGTAAGATTGTGCAGAATAATTTTTAGTGATAATTTAGGGACGGAATTGTTCATTATTTTGATTACTTTTTTTTTTTTCTTCTTTTTTCTTTTTCTTGCATTCTCTATTACATTTAGAGATATTATAAAGACTTAAAAATAATCCTTAGAATGCTACAACAATTACAAATATCTTAAAATGTCATATGCATTTAATATCCATTAAACACTTTTATAACAATATATTATACAACAGAACTCTTAATGGTCGTCCACTACTGAACCAAATTTACCTAGTAAATTCATTCATACAGATATAAATCATATACCTCCCCCATCAACACCAAGGGCAACAGGACACAGTCCGGCAGACACCAGAGAAGCAGATCCACTAGAAGAACCTCCTGCTATCTTACTGGTGTCATATGGGTTTCTAGCAGGCCTACAAAATAAATAAACAAACATGCTCTTATCACCAACTAGTTCTATGAACAGTCCTTGATCCTTAATTCACAAGACAAATCCACCAAAGATGTCACATAATGCGGCCATGAGTATAGCACAAGGTGCTCTTACCCATAATGTGGATTTATCCCACTGGTTCCGGACCCAAGTTCATGCATATTGGTTTTCCCAACAAGTATGGCTCCACATAACCTTAGACGCTTAACGCAGCAGGCATCATCGTTACACGGCCTTTCTTTGTGCAGCCACGTTGTTCCTCCTTGAAGACAAGACAACATTTTAGAGGCTTAAGTGAATCATGAAATCAGAAGATAATCATTTGAATAGAAGACACCTTAGAGAAAACAATAACACACTACACCACCTGTTGTTGGATATGGCAAACAGTCTATCTCATCCTTGATAGCAACAGGAACTCCGTCTAACACGGAGATTGGTTCCCCTGCACAAATAGTATTGCATCAAATAAGTATCTGAACATTGTTGAGTACACATAACATTTGTACATAAATAACGCTAAAGCCTAAAGAAGAACGGGCAAATAGTTCCTCAGTTAATAGTAATAGCCTGCAGATATAACTCTATTTTCTGGGCTACTCCAATAAGACTGTTACTGTTAGCATTTATATTCATATGAATATAAATGCTAACAGTATATTTTTTGACACATCTTTTTTAACACTCATTACTATTGATTGAAAATTAATGAAAATCACAAATTTTTTGGTTCTTCTTCTTATGCAATGAGATCTACTCATGATTTCGTACTTTCTAATATATTACTAATAAAAAGTGTAATGGGAGTTTGTTAGAAAATGTGTTTTTAGCACTCTTCTTAGAATATAATATTCATTAGACTTGTAAGGTTAGCGAATGGCCCCATATGTTAGTGGAAAGAGGGGTGGGGGAAAGGTAAGTAGCATACATCTTATCTTTGGATGCAGACAGCACATGTAGCCATAATTATGAGTTTCAATAACAACCCCCATCAGATTCGATATTTAAATGTTGAATTGAATTGACACTTGAGTTGCTGTGAATTGCGTACCTCTTTGATGTCGATGAGTTGATTCAGCTGCTTGTCTTAGAATATCATCAACACTATAGTGAGTAAAGAATCCCATTTTGAGGGAGGGTTTTGTGGACTCATCAATAGCCGCAATAAATCGTTCAGCAACCTGCAAAAATGACAGTAGAAAGAGAGTTAATGAATATATTAGTACATCAAAATTCTGAAGTCAGAACGAGCTAGAAATGTGCAGTACTTGTGGATGCATGCTAAGTATAGATCGAGTGAACACAGTAATGACATGATGATAACAGTTAAAGAATAGAGTTTACTATCTTTCTAGTACTTAAAACATTTTTCAAATTTATGCTTTTAGTCATTAATCTGAATTTTTTCTTTGAGCTGTCAAAGTTTCTGAATTTTTTCTCTTTATCACTTTCGTTCTTGTTATCAAGTAACCATAAACACTGCCTGATAGTAAAAACTAAAACTGACAATGGAGAAAAACAAAAGAGGAACTTTAAACTGTCAAAATTTAAATTTAAATTAGAAATTAAAAAAATTTAAAGACTGAAAAGAGATAATGAATCTTAAGAATATTAAAAGATGAAAATACCAAGCTTGGTGTTATTTCCCCAGAGCGGTAAGCTTTTGCATAATCCATTATTGTCCATCGGCAGAATGAAGAATTTGCTCCATCAAGTGTTACTTCTGAAGATATAGGCAAACAATCTAGTGCATGTTGAACTTTCTCCGGTGGAGACAAAGAAGAGTCTAAGCATTTGACTTCTCTTTCTTTTATGTCTGCAAGAGTAAACAGAAACCATGATCCACTTTCTCTGAAGGCAACCTAAGGCCGAAATTTTTCATTCAAATATGATAATGTCGACGATCTCTCAAACCTTCAAAATCATGCAAGGGAACAAAGAGAGGCGGTTCTTGGAACTCTGCATTTGTGATAAGCTGTGGAAATTAAAAAAAAAAAAAAATAACACTTGCTTACAGATTTTCTGTGGAATTCAATCTTTACTGGAGCTGAAGTTCATGAAATGGAATACAAGTGTTCATGGAGACAGAGAACAGGAGCATACCCGGTGAATAAGATTGTTTCCCTTCAATATGAACAGTAGGAAGGTTCCAATTATTGGACACTCCAACAGATGAGTGAAAATCTTGACCACTAGTCCAGTCATGCGGGGAGCTGTGATGGTAAATATCATTAGTATTTTGTGGTGTGCATGGCTATCATCCATCATTATCAACACTTTTACAAGCTAACATTCTGATTCAAATTCAAATGTCATTGTTAAAACTTAAAACAGCACATGCAGACCCTTTCTGAACCTGATACATACATGCTAATCTGCTCCCCGGTAGAGAGAATTCTATGTTATAATTCAGAAATCCAATCACAAGAATTCAATGGAAAACCGTAGTAGGAGAACGATAAATCAAGACACCAAGAAGCTAAGAAAGAAAAACAGTGCATGGTGAACCTTTGACATTGGCTTGGAGGTAGAATTCATTGCTATAGGGGCCTAAGTCCACATCCTTCACAGGCCCGTAAGCCACACCCTTACGATTCAAGAAATCCATTAGCCCCTGAAGGAGTTTTGAAGCAAGATGTCAGAAGGGTGTAGATAACTAGTTATAAGAAGATTTGGCGGAGATTACTAGAGGAATGTGGTAGAAGTTCGATACGTTTTTAACCATGCATTCTTAACTGTCATGTTGATGGATATAATCTGGTATGAAAACTAGTAGCCAAAATGGTTTGCGTGGAAATGGTAGAATTTACATGGATAAAGTAAAACAAAATCCCAAGACAATTTTGGTGTCTCTTTGGTGTGAAAAACTCAACTACTTTTGGATGAACAAAACTTTAAGAAATGTTCAACCTCAACTATAGGGAATATCAATCTTACCTTCTTCTTTTTTTTCTTGTCTACACCTTACAAAGTCAGACTGACGTTCACAGCAAGAATGTTTATTGTTTAATTACACTTTGTCTTTCATATACTTTCCCTTACATTATTTTTCACCAACTTCATCTTTTAACCGTAAAGTTTTAGTCTTTATCTTAATATTCAATACCCTATATTATACTCTCTTTTTTTTAAGATTCATCTTAATCATTCAATGTAAATGAACATATTGCAACAAGTTTTACCTTTTAAATCAGTCAAAAAATAGTTTAAAATTATGTCACAAAAAACCATCTTTATTGAATTAGTCCAAACTTAATAAGTTAGAGAGCTAAAAATAAGTTTTTTGAAAGATAAAAATATAATTTAACTTATCCTATATAAAAATTCTCATGTAAGATTAGAGAGAGTATAACTACATTTAGAAATCCATTCTAACCCTTTATAATATTTTGACAACAAAAGTAACAAAGAAGTTATTTCTCTGGAAGTGAGATGAAATTCTCTCTACCAGAAAGTCAAACATGTCATCAATAGAATACCATATAAACAATTATTAAGTTCATTGGAAAAATAAACAAGAAAAGAAACTTGTAAAGACATAATTAAGCCAACTTTCTGACGATAATAAGACATTACAATAAATTCTATTTACAACAGGAATTAATGAGAATCTGCTTCATCTTGGTTTTCCAATCTAAAGCATAGTAGTATTAGTCTGATCGAGAAAACGGATTTCGTCAATGTCAAAGCATAATTTTTCTTACTACTACATTGTAGAAGTACTCATTTTTCTTCTAGGGGTGGGGTGGAGTGTGCAGGTTGAAAATGGTGGTAATTCGATGGAGGCCTGCGTCATCTGACAGTCCATTCTGTATGACTACGAGGTTCTTCTGTGAGCACCACCATTTCTGTTTTATTTTATTCATTTTCGTGGTAGCGCGCACCACCAAAGTTAATGCAGTTTACTTCTAGTTGTTTCTACATTTATAGTGGTCCAGTGCATCACATGAGGGTGTCCATTACTTTTCTTGTTACTGCAAAAGATTGTGAAACAAACTAGCTTTGGTTGGGTAAGTTTTGAAGGTACCTGCAAAATATCAGTATAAGGGCACATGAGATTAAAACAACTTTTGTGATGGGGACATGTCAAGTTTCCATAAGGGAGAGTAGTTGTTGGAATATAAAGTGGATCATGATGCAATGCAATGGCAACTCATGGTGAAAAAGACAACCAAATGCAACACTTCGGGGTTGTTAATGGAAGTGTCTTTGGGATGGGTCGTACCCGCCAAAGCCTGTTACATGTATTCAGTTAATAAAGTTTGTGGTATCAAAATTGAACCTTTAATTTAAATTATCATAAATTAATGTCTTCCTAAGTACAATTTCTATTTTTTAAAATACTATTTAACCCTTTCCATGTGATAAAAATTATTTTATTTATGAAGACTACAAAATATATATTTATTGGACTAAAATTTAAAATATATTATAGAAACTAAAAAAATAATACTTAAGATCATAAAGACTAAAAAACATTATGTATTTAAAAAAATCTAATAAAATTATATATTTATAAAATATATTTAAATGTTACTATGAGAAGACTTTTTCTCCTCAAATAAATGCTTTAAAAGTAGTTAGAACTTGCACATAAATTGTACAGCTAAAATTGCCTGGTCAACATGGCATGTATAATTGTGGTATATATACCACATATACAATTATAGTCTCTACACCTAAAATTATTAGTTGACTAGGCATATATATATAATTGGCGATATTCACCATTAATATTGAAGGGACTAAATAATATATTATTAATAAATAATAAATAAATATAAAAGGAAGAAAGAAGATGAAAGAGTGAAAAGATAAAATTATAGATATATACTTAAATTTATTAAATGATTATTAAGTTTGAGGGGGATAAAATCATAAATTATAGGAGAGTTACAAAACTGAAGAATGACTAAGAAGATAAATTTGTAAATATTCAAGTAAATATATTAAATGTTTATTAAGTTTTGAGGGTCAAAATCAAAAATTACATGGGAGTTACAAAAATTTAGGGGATCACGCCTCCTGGCTCCCAAAAAGATGCACTGGCTATAATTATACAGGGTGTATAATTACAGTGTGCTATAATTTTTTTAGTCACTATAACTACAGCGCACAATCAAATATAAACATGTGAAAAGAAAAGAAAAATAAAATATATGAAAACAAATTATTCAAAGCTATAAAATTAGTTTAATTGTATTGACACCTTAATGAATATATTTATAAATTCTCATTACATAAAAATTAAAATAATAATAATTTATACATTTTTCTTCTTTAACCGATATTTTTTAAAGATATTAAAATTTTAAAATAATAATACATTAAATATTTATATATAAAATGTTCATGTAAGAAGAATATATTTATAATATTTTTATTTTTTCTCAGTGAGACATTTATAAAAATTATTTTATTGTGAAACAATTTTTCTATTGTTAAATTATGAAAGAAGAAAAAACAAATGAAAATAACAAGGTGGGAATTGTCTTTGTCGTTATTAAAACTTTTTTCACTTTATTCATCGGTGTGGTCGAATTTAAATTGTCCAAAATATATAATATTTATTGGAATAATTTATTATTAAATCTTGAACATAGATTTTTATTTTTATTTTTATCTTGCGTTAGATAAAATAATAAGACATTTATTGTGAAGATTGAGCTTTTATAAAGAATTTTTTAAATGTGAAATATAATATAAAAAAACATTTTTAAAACTCTATTCTTTAATTTACAAAGTTAGTTAAGAGTACATTAAAGAAAAAATTACAAAATATTTTATCCTACGTAGTAGAAAGTTACCAAAAGAAAAATACATTTTTCACTGAGATACTCTTTAACTCTTTATGTAAATAATATTTTATAAATTTAAATAATAAGAAATAAAATCTATCATAAAAAATTTTGAGTTAACGAAAACTTACACCTTAATTATGTTTTTTATAAAATTAAATTATAAGAAATAACATTTACCACAAAATATTTTAAATTGATGAAATTTTATGCTTCACTTATATTTTAATTCAAAATATTATTCACTTTGATAGTTTAATATAAAAAAAATACTTTTTTTATAAATTTAAATCATAAAAATTAAAATTTATTATTAGATATGATATGAGATATAATTCCTTTTAAAACTCTAATCATTATATTTTTATTATTTAAAGGTTTTAATAAATTAAGAAATGATAATATATATATATATATATATATATATATATATATATTATTCTACTCTATGAACATATCAAAAATAAAGATTACATTAATAACATATTATTTTTAAAAGATTAAAACTAATTAAAAAAAATAGAAACGAAAAGTAAATTATTAGGAGCAAAATTTATATCAAATTCTAACTAACTTGTAAATATATATATATATATATATATATATATATATATATATAATATTGTTTTTATAAATCTTTAAGCATAGATGAGACTGTTTTTATTTTTATTTTATTTTTTCAAAATACCTGAAAATTATTCTTCAGTTTTATTTATATTTTTTTCATGGTTTTTTCATTCTCCAACCATTAACTTGGGTTAAATTTATATCTTTTAATTTTATTCATATATTTTTTAATAATAATAATAATAATATTTATAGATAATAATTACTATTATTATTATTCAAATAAATAATAAATTAATTATGGTATTAATAATAATAATAATAATTATTATTGATACTATCACATGTAACAATCATGGTTGTTATAGGTGATGACAGTAATTAATAGTGATAATCATGATGCACGTATATAATGATAAAAAAAGTGTTAATGATTGATAGTAACGGTATTAATGACAGTGGTCCTTGTTACAATAATTGTCGAAATGAATATTTGTGCTGTATGATTTGAGGATGAAATCTTAAAACAAAGATTTTTTTTTTTCCTCTGTCACATCTTAATAAAAAAATATTATTCAATAAATTAATATAATTCTTATTTTATATAATTTTTATCCAATTTTATATATTTTACTTTTTTTACCTTTTTATATATTTTAATTTTTTTAAATAATCATATATTTAAATATTTACCGAATTTTATATATACAATTAAATAGTTAAATATATTATATTATAAGTATTTTATATTCATATAAAAATATCAAATACTTTTTATCTTTTTTAATATAAATATATAAATTAAAAATTATATATATAATTGATACTAATTTAAAAATTATAAATTTATAAATATTTATTAGTATAAAGTAATGTAAAAAAATTAAAATTAATTTATTGTAAATATGATTATTTTTTTAAATAATATAAAATAGAAATAATTGAGGTGTAAAAACCTAAAACCTAAGTGGACAAAAATATCTAATATCCAAAAATTGGAGTGAAAAAGTATGGGCCGAGATTTTTTATTTTTTTTTATATGGGAAATGTTGGATTAACAAGTCAAACATCTTTTCCATAATCATTTACATTAATTAAATAATAATAATTATATTAATATTTATAATTGTTAATGGGTTATATTGATGGGTAATAAATCACTATTATTTTTTTTATAGAGTAATGTAAAAAGTGGAAGAAATGATAAATAAGAAAAAAAATCGAGATTTTTGAATTTTTAATAATATTCACTGATTATTTTTTTTGTTCAAAATGTAATTTTTTATTCCCCTCTCCAATAAGTGTTGGGAGGTATAGGAGGACATTGATTTAATTTTCTCTCAGTCTTTGATGTGTGAACAGGTTATCCTTACCACTTTATTAAAATCTCCACTCCCTACATTTAAATCAAATCAAGTACAATAAAAAGTTGTCATCTTATGGTCCAACAATTTCTGCCAATTACTTAAAATCTGCTGTAAGACTTATTTTACAAGTCCCACTCTAATTTCTTCAAATAATTGAGAGAAAATTTATGTACATTAAAATGGGACTAAATAATAATGAATTTAATTTAATACGGACGAAAAGGGGGACTATTGTCTCAAGAAGTAATTTTTCTATTAGAATAAATTTAATATTTTAGATTATATAAAAAATAGAAGTTTTTTTGATAAAAAAAATTTAAAATAAATACAGAGAGTTGTAAACATTAGAAAAAAAAAAAAAAAAAAAACTGTCATGAAAAAACATTTGAGAATACATATAACCACTAAATTCACATCCTAAACTCTACCAAGTATAAACTCAGAAAAGTTAAAAGAGAAATACTTTTATAGGATTAATAATGAAAAATATACACATCTTTAAAGTATAAAAGGTAATGATAATTTATAGAAGTTTTTTTTTCTTAAATTATGCTAATTTTCCCTGAATAAAAATATCATAAACTATACTTTATATTTTCTTGTATGGAACCGATTCACTAAGAGAATGTTAGATTAATTATCATTATTATTAACTCCATAATTTGATTAATAATTGTTGTGATTTTCAAAATTTCAAACAATCCACACATTTGAAAATTTAATAAGAAGAGTTTTCTTTTTAGAGAAAACTAAAATTGACCAAATATAGGAGGAGTTATTGGTACTCCAATATGCTTATTCATACTTCACCTTTTATTTTTATTTTTATTTTTATATTTTTTTCTTACTTTATATTTTAGTTAAATTTTTGTTTCGACAAAATTCAGATCCATATGCGTATTTACATTTTTTTATTTTTATAAAATAGACCCTCGTTTTATATTTCAAACAGAAACTAATCCTTGTGCTTTCTCAGCATATATATTATTAAGTACTTGCAAATAAAAAATAAACACTTTTTTTAAAAACATAAAAGAGTTATAGTTACGAAGGAGTACTTTGAATGATAAAATATTTCCAATAAAATATTTAATAAATGAATATCATACTTAATGAATATATTAATAAAAATTTTGAAAACCCATTTTTATTTTTAGTTTCATTAATATGATATTTTTAAATATAGGATAAGAATATTAATTATTTTTAATTTTATTAGTTTATCTATTCAATCTCTCTTAGTTATTATTATTATTTTCTGTTTGGTTAATATGATATTTTTAAACATAGGATAGGAACATTAATTATTTTTTATTTTATTAATTTATTTTATTATTTGGTTAATATGATACTTTTAAATGTAAGATAAGAATTTTTTTATTAGTTTATCTATTCAATCTCCCTTAATTATTATTATTATTATTTTATTAATCTAATTAATTTATTTTTTTCGATCTTATAATTTTCACCTACTCATAATTATTTATATTTAAAAATAAAAATCAAGAGAATTTAAATAATATAATATAATATAATAATAACAAAAAAATTAAACAAAATATCATAATAATTTAAAAAAAAAGATAAGAAATTTAATTTTATATTGAAAATAAAATAATTATAACCATTTTACGAGAATTTTAAAATATAAATTAAAAATAAAATTAAAAATAAAATATTATATTATTAAATAATATCATAAGTTATTCGGATGAAATATAATATATAAAATGATTATTATTTGATATATTTAATTTCTCTCAATTATTTATTATTTTACATTTTTTATACGAATGAAAAAAAGAGTAAATAATTAATATTCTTTTACTTATGTTTTTAAGGCACAAGTTAGATAAATCATTTTATTTATTGATATGTGTCTATGTTTGTGTATTTGTATTACATTTTTATTTTAATTTATTCACATTTAATATATATATATATATATATATATATACATATATATATATATATATATATATTAATTTAAAAATATAAATGTTTATTTATGAAACTATGAGTTGTTAAAGACAAATAAAGACTAAGTTTTAAATAGAGAGACCGAAAAGAATGTGTAATTGAGAGAATAAGAAAGAAATAATATTTTTTTATTATTTTTATTTATTGTTTTATATTTAAGAAAAAAATTGAGAAGAACTTATGATTAAAAAAAATAGAAAAAATAATTTATATATATATATATATATATATATATATATATATATATATATTACTCTCCAGTTACACTAAAAATCAATTAAAAAAAGGAATTTTTTATATATTATTATAAATATTAAATCTAAAAATACAAGCATACTAATATATGAAACAAATTAAAAAAAAATTAAACTAAATTAGGAAAGTGAAAAAAACAGAAACATTGGTATCAGATTTTTTTTTGTATAAATTAAACTCAGAGAATAAATTTATGATAGTTATAAATATTTTTAATTTATAAAAGTAGACCTATAATTACTATATCTCTGTTTGTTTCCATTATATGTTCTAATTTTTCATTTTTACATATTTATAATATATTTTCTGGTTTCTTATTTTATTTTTAATAATATTTAGAACTATAGTACAAAATGTACTTCAACCACTAATTTAAAAACAATTTAAAAAACGAAAATAGGATAAGTAATTAGAAAAACGAAAATATAAATAGGATTAGTATCATTTTTCATTCATTTTTATTTTATATCATAAATTATGTTTGCATTTTTGTGATCGTGAGTGATTAAATTTTACTCTATTTTTTAGATGATCCACTCAGAAATACATTACGGTAATTTGAAAAGAAAATTGCTCTGAGTGACAAAATAGGTAAAAATAAAAATGAAAAGAAAAATTGAAATTGATCATATACATTAATTATCATGTTCTGGATGATCTAGACATTTTTCAGCGCATTTCAAATTATTTGGGCTTGATAGCTTTCTCATCCAGCCCAATTGATGATCAACGCAGAAAATACCATGGAGAACCTTCTGCTGAAGAACATTTCAGAAAGTTCCCGAATTTTCTGAAAGAATCTTCAACCTGTGGCAAACCAATCAATAGAAAACATAATTTTTTTTCTGGAACATACGAGATTGACCCTTGATTTCATTTAAATAGCTTGTGAGTCCTTTCAATCATCAACATTGAAAGATTACGCTATCAGCTAACAATTCACACAATATTTTACAGAGTTCAAATAACGTGTAAAGAAGAGAAAATGTCCCTCATCCCAAGCTTCTTTGGTGGTCGAAGGAGTAACGTTTTCGACCCTTTCTCCCTTGACGTATGGGACCCCTTCAAGGATTTTCACTTTCCATCTTCGATTTCTGCTGAAAATTCTGCATTTGTGAACACCCGAGTGGATTGGAAGGAGACCCCAGAAGCGCACGTGTTCAAAGCTGATATTCCAGGGCTGAAGAAGGAGCAAGTGAAGGTGGAGATTGAAGATGATAAGATTCTTCAGATAACCGGAGAGAGGAACGTTGAGAAAGAAGATAAGAACGATAAGTGGCATCGTGTTGAGCGTAGCAGTGGGAAGTTCTTGAGGAAGTTCAGGTTACCAGAGAATGCAAAAGTGGATCAAGTGAAGGCTTCCATCGAAAATGGGGTTCTCACTGTCACTGTTCCCAAGGAAGAGGTCAAGAAACCTGATGTTAAAGCAGTTCAAATTTCCGGTTAAAATCCCAACATATATATAAATCTTGTACTTTGCTTTGTTCAGTTTGAAGAATCTTGTGTCGGGTGTGTGTGCCTAAAACAAGGATATTTGATGTGTACTGTGAATTATAATAACATCATACTATGTAATAAATTGTAACAACGTTGAAGCAAGTGTTATTTGGTCTTGTTGTATGAGAAATTCAGTTAGTGTCTAGTTAATTGTCATGTATTGAAAAAAGAGATAATTTAAGTGGTTTATTGCATTATTGGACAATGAGAACGCTTGAGCGATCACCTTTGAGCAAGAATTATTTCGTACAAACATGAAAGATTTTTCAAATATTTCTACATATTGTCAACAACTTTAAAAGTGGTCCGATCAACTTAAGAACACCGGTGCAAGGTTTACAATGGAGTTGTGATACTCATTTGTCAAAGCAACCCTCTTCCACAATTCCATCAAGCCCGCTCTATGTTCATTTTAGAAGAAGTTGATTTTGCAAAGAAAATTGTAACTGATGTTGGTTTTGCCGTGGCTCATGATATTGATGTCTCTCAATCTCCCCACAAGATTCACCACATTCGCCACAACTATGGTGATACATAGGGCTAAAACTGCAACAACAATGGCAGGAATAACAACAATAATCGGGGTGGAGACAGGAGAGGTGATCGTGGTGGTGGCCGCAATTGTGACTGTTGGATAATACCAATAAGCACAATAGCATGGGTGCCCTATTGGACAATGGTATGCCTTTGGATATTCCACCTTGCCCATACCCCTCATCACCCTCCTCAGCTTGGACTCAACCTGGAATTCAGCAAAATCAACAGTGTCAATCAGGTATATCTTCGGGCCAAAATCACGACAAGTATACACAACAACAACAATTTCACAAACTCCAACAGACATCATAACCGTAATGTATGCTCTTGGGCTTAATCCGTCATATGCGAATTGGTACATGAATACTGGTATGACTTCCACATGACATTTGAGCAAGGTATCTTCTGCCTTATTATAATTTGAGTAGTAGTTGTGGTATATTATTGATAATGGTCATTCAATTCTAATTTATGGTTATAGTCACACTATTTTACCTCCTCCAAATCCTCCTTTAACCTTAAAGAATGTTCTTCATATATCTTAAATTATTAAAAATTTATTATTTGTTAGAAAGTTTACAATTAATAATTAGGTATTTGTTGAATTTGATTATATTAATTTTTCTTTTTAAGACGGGGATGCATCCAATGTGAAAGTTAGGGAGACTTTTATCTATTTACAGTCACTCCTACCTCTCAAGCTGTATTACCATATGTTTTTACTATTTTAGTTCCATTATTATGGCATGTTTAATTAGGTAGATTATCTATTATAGACTCTCTTAGATAGAATAAATTTATTAAGTGTAATAAAAATCATGTTTTTTTTAAGAAATATGTTAAGTTATTATTTGTTTTTTTTAAATTTTTTTATTGTTATACTTTTTGATATTATACATATTAATATTTAGGCATCTTTTGTTTTGAGTCCTTTTAGACATTATTATTATATTTGGTTGTTAAATGACTATTCTGATCTTTTATGGAATTTTTATTGTCTAAGAAAAGTTTTTTCTATTCATTATAATAGAAAGAAACTTTCGTGACGGTATTTTAAATAGTGGTTAACAAAATCACTTTTAAAAATACATATTAGATAGCGATTATGAGTAAAACGTTTTCTAAAGTATGTTTTAATAGTGGTTTAGAAAGAATTGTTTTCTAAAGTAATTTATAATAGTAGTTGTATGATAATTGCTATCTAATGTCATACCTTTAAAAAGCGGTTGATATGTGAAATTACTATCATAATTTTAGATAGCGGTTATTTTGTAGAACTGCTATAATAAGTGTAGTTTAGATAGCAGTTATTTGGCGAATTGTTATCTAAAGTTATATTTTTAAAAATCTTAAACCCCTTTTCTTCAATATTGCGCTCTCTGTTTCTGCATTTTTTGCCGCTCTTCGCACTCTCTTTCTCGCTCTCTGTGTCTTTTATTAAACTAAAGATACGTTCTCTCTCTTTTGCTCACTTTGTGCTCTCCCACTTGCTCTAGGTTCTCTCCATTTTCCTTTGTGTCTTCAATCTCTCTCATTCTCTTACTCTCACTATTTAGTTGGTTATTACAACTTTATTGAAGCATATTTGTGTGTCATCAAGTTCGCGTTCCAGTCTTCATTCGTCATTGTTGCTGTAGGATTCACTTATTGGGAGGTCTACAATAGGTTAGTGCATTATATATTTTTTAGGATTTTATTTGATTTATTATAGTATAATTATTTGAATTAATGTGATATTGGATACAATTTGTACCCCTATTTTGATTTTGATATATTTAGTTAAATTTTAGGGTGAGTGTGAATTATAAATTACAATTTAAAATTAGTATTTTGATTGATTAATATCTTAGTTTGGTCTGAATTGTTTATTTTTATCTACATTGTGATCTTGAAATTGTATTTTGAAATATAATATAGGCTGGCTAGGATATATACATGGTTTAGTGTGGCCCTGAAATATTTTGTATTAGAGATTATGTATGATATTTTTGCTGATAGTTTTAGTAATTTTATATGCTTGTTAAATGCAATTATTATATATGAACTTGAGTGAACCTTTAGTTTCTCATTTGAGTATTTAAATAATGATTTAGGATCATTAGTTTGAAACTCAAATTGTCCTAAAGTACTCAGTTATTCTAAACCATCTTTATGTTTTTTGGTCTACAAAGTGTCTTAAGCAAATGAACTCAGATGACTGTGGATATTACGTAACCTTGTTCATTGAAGATGCACTTGCAACATGGATAAACTACTATTCCAGTTAACGTAAGAACCATTTTTGCATTATGACTATGTTTATATGAAAGAATAATGTATTCTCATTATTTATCTAATTTGGTATTTAACTTTTGTGATTCTTTTCTATTTATGTTTGCAGTATTTTCTAGAATCTCGCTTTATTACCTTTCCGGACCTTAGAATTGAGCAGTTACAAAAGGATTGATGTGCATATTTCTACCATACATTTTTGAAGGACAATATCAGCATCATAGACTCTTGGGGATTTTTTTTAATAATTTCAATTATTTGATGTATATGTATCAATTTTATTTCATGCAAATTTTAGTTTTAATTTGTCAAATTTTGAATTATTTTTCTATGATTATGTGAATATATATTGTATGCTAGCTGGATTTTGTTGAATTAATTTGATATATACCCTGAAATTGTGGTCTATTAGGTACAAATTATCAAGAAAAAATTTTGGATTTTAAAATTTAAATAAAATTATTTTTTAAAATTAGGACTTTAGATAGTGGTTCTCATAACCGCTATCTAAACATATTAAAAGAGAGCATTTCTAGAATTAACCACTATTAAAAGTATATTTTAAATAATGATTGTCGTTTTAATCGTTATTATATATATCATTTTTAAGAACAGATCATCATTCTAATCGCTATTATAAATATAATTTTGCATAGCGGTTCCACATTAACCGCTATTATATCTTATTTATGATAATGGTTAGTTGATTGTTATCTAAATGTCTTTTTTTTATTAGTGCTTCATTTAATAATATTTTTAACTGTTATTATAGAGCATATGAAATCATTATTACATGTCTTTTATGTTGTAGTGATTTTTTTTTTATCTTTTAGAGCATTCATATGTATACAATTTGAATGAGATATCAAGAATATACAATGTGATAATGGTAAGGAATTTGATAATGGACTTTTTTGGGAGTTTCATAGCAAAAATGGGTTAGTGTTTCGATTTTCCTATTCACATATATAAGCACAAAATGGAAAATCTAAAAGAAAAATTTGTAACATTATTAACATTGTATGTACTTTACTTGTTCATATCCATTTATCACATTTATTTTGGCATCATACTTTCCAAATGGTTACATACTTATATAATATTCTTGCAAATAAACAATTAGCATATCGGTCACTTGTCAAAATCTTTTGTAAAAATGACTTTTCATATTCTTATGTTAGAGTATTGGTTGTTTATGTTATCCACTATTTCCTTTTATCTATCATAAACAAACTTTAACCTTGATTTGTTTCAAGTGTTTTGTTTAGATATCCTTTTTAATCATTGTAGTTATAAGTGTTATGATTTGTCATCTTGTAAAATTATACTTAGTTGAAATATTATTTTTTATGAGACCCAATTTTCATTTGTTAATTTACACAATCCATAATCTCACACTTACAATTTTTTTGCTAATTTACACAATTCACAACCTTACACTTACACTTTTTTGGATGATAGCCTCTCTTCTTATGTAACCAACCACTTATACTCTCAAATTATCAATACCATTACACCACTCACTCCTCACATATAATCACTACCAAGACATACATCATCACAAACACATACATTACCATTTTAGTTTTGAGACCTGTGATATGTAGTTAACATAGAATTTTTAACATTGTTGTCACTAAATCTCCCTTAAATTGGAAATAAGCTATGGAGATAAATTTAGTGCCCTTCTTAAAAATAAAATGTGAGAGTTAGTACTTTGTCCACCTAATGTTAATATCATTCGATCTACGTGGATTTTTTCTCATAAAGAAAATTCTGGTGGTATGTTTGAGAGACATAAGGCCTAATTTCTAGGTGACAAAAAATGTAAAAGGTTGACATAGATTATGGAGATACTTTTAGTCTAGTAGTTTAACCAACAACTATCCAAATTGTTCTTAGTTTAGTCATGATAAAGAATGATATGTTCACCAACTTGATGTGAATAATACATTTTTATATGGAAAACTCAAAGAGACTATCTACATGCATTAGCCCATTAATTACAAGGATTTACATCATTTTAATCATGTATACTTGTTAAATAAATCTTTATATGGGTTCAAACAAGTCCTTTGGGCTTGATACAAATGGTTTGTTGATTATGTCTCTACACTTGGATTTTCTCATAGTATTTTTGACCATTCTCTCTTCATTTATTAGAATGGTACAACTAAAGCTTACATTCTATTATGATATTATATTAATAGCCTCCTTTGTTAAATCATATCACTTCTTAGCTGCAAATGTGATATGAAGGATTTGGGATTGTTAAGTTATTTTTTTAGGTTTAATTGTCACCCGTCATGTAGGTGGTTTTTTTTTTTATCCCAACGAAAGTATGCAATAGATATCATTCAGACAACAAGTGTGTTTATAAATGCATGATTTAAGAGACGAACACATGCATGTTCTTAAGAGAACTGTTTGATACTTACAAAGTATTCTTAATCATGGCCTGCATCTCTATTCATCATTCACATCCACTCTTTTTTCTTATATAGATGTTGGTTGGGGTGGGACCCTGACATTTGACATTCTATATATGGTTATTGTGTGTTTTTTAGTGATAATTTAATTTTTTGGTCCATTAAACGGTAAGCTACTCTGTCACGATTGAGTGTAGAGGTAGAATATAGAGACTTTATTAATGTGGTATCTAAATCTTGTTGGTTATTAAATCTTTTTCTAGAATTTCATTGTTTGATTTAGAAAGTTATATTGGTATATTATGATAATGTTAGTGCAATATATCTTTTTAGAAATCTAGCTTAATATCAACATATCAAACATATTAAGATAGATATATATTTTGTTCGTGAGAAGGTTACTTGAAGGTAAGTTTGGGTTTTACACATGTTGTCAGATTATCAAATTGTTGACATTTTTACAAAAGATCTTTCATTGATTTTGTTTGAATATTTTTAGGAAAGTCAACGTTCATTTATCTTTAATTTCATATATGTGGGGTGTGATAGAATATATGATATTATGCATTTAACTATAATATAGTATTCAAGTTTATAAATTAATTTCATA